GAAACGTGGAATCCAGTCAATCCACGAACAAAGCATTTGGTCAAAGTAAATGAATTCTAATCCTGTTTCTCGTAGCTTGGATGGCAAATTGACTGACCTAAAAGGAGAGATTCGATTCATTCTGAAGCAGAAAAGAGAACTCTGTTTTGTCTTCACATGCAATTACATTTGGTCCTATTTTAACATCTTCCTCAACAACTCAAATTGAACCAGATTCAACATACAGTTTCTGCTTTATATTCAGAGTCCATACTCACAAGATGTTTTTCAGCTGCTAAAAATTTAAGTCATCGCTCTGGGTTTTAAAAAAAAAAAAAAAAACCTTTTCTAGGCGGGTTTTTCTTTCTCCTCAGGTTTGGTTTGAGTTCGGATTTTTGTGCCTTAGATTTTGCCAATACTGTGGGGGATTTTGTTCTTGCTTTAGGATTGTGATAAATTTATCATGGATGATTAACAAAGATGGAGTTGCAAGAATCTTTGGGGATTGAAGTTCTTGAGGGAGAACTGGAGTTGGTTAGACAACTTAATTTCACAAATTGTTAGTTAGGAAAATATGCTTGTGGTACTTTCTTCCCTGGAAGTGTCGCAAGTCAATACCATGTAGCCACGCCGAAAGCAGGTCGCAGACTAGTTTTCCAGGTAACCTAATACGTGAGGAAAAGTTTCAAATGACTTAATTTTCAAGTTATAACCCACCAAAAACCACTGCCGTTAATGTGGATGGAGCACAAAAGATTTTTCAATAAGAATGGAAACTTATTTTAATGATGATTCAATCTAAGTGTTTAGGAAAAGTTATAGATTGATAAGATTAGACATTGGTTGCTTTTCTTGTCCCTTAATTTGTGTGGTTAATATTCATCTAGAAACTTAACGCTTAAATGCTTCTTGGTCACATCACTTTATAAAAATACTCCATCTATCTCAAAATTATTATCCATTTTGATATTTCGTTTTTAGTACAATTTGAACTAGAAATAAAAATCCAAACTAGATAATAATTATAGGATGGAGGGAGTACTTTCTAATGGAAAGAACTAAGAAAGGCTAGATTGCTAGATTGCTCGCACTTCTCTCAATTTCTGTTTCTTTATAACTTCTACAATCATCGCTTACTAATTGTAGTCTTTCACCTTATAAAATAGGCCACTGTCCATTTCTCTTAAATTTGGCATTGACGAAGAAGAGAGCGGGACGAGAACACAAACCGAAGATTGAACTTATCTGTATCGGCGGAGGTTGTGGTAGCATTTGTCGTATTTGAAAAGCGGATTAAATGACAATTTATATGGTGAACTTGTTTTAGGGATTATAATACTCTCACATAAAAAGTGAGTAACTTTTTTTTCTTTTCCATAATTAAACTCACGCGCACGGTATGGGTACCAATTTTTATTCTTATGATTTTATCTATGATCTTATCATCCATCCAATCGTGGTTCAAAATCAAAACTGTAAATTTATTCATTTTCCCCATGATTTCTGCCCATTCTTGTAGCTCGTAGATCATCAATCATGCATCCATTGAAGAAAATAAATCGCTTATAAGTAGATACTTTTTTCTTTTTTTTTTGTGTTTGAATCTTATGAACAATATAGTACATTTGTATGAATATTTGAATGGTATGAACAATGTAGTTGGTTTTCATGAGCATTTGAATCATAGTAAAGAAGATGAATCGCATCCTGATAGATACTTTTTTTTTTTTTTTTTTATATGTTTGAATCATATGAACAATATAGTATATTTGTATGAATATTTGAATCATCTAAACAGTTTAGTTAGTTTCATGAATATTTGAATAATGTTGAAAAAGATGAATCGCCTCCTGGTAGATATGTTTTTTTTTTTCTTTTTTTGTGCTTGAATCATATTATTTTCTTTTTTGGAAACCTGTTTGAATCATATGAACAATATAGTATATTTGTACGAATATCTAAATTGTACGAACAATGTAGTTTATTTTCATTAATATTTGAATCATATGAACAATGTATTATAATGTCATGAGTATTTCATATCGTGTGCAAGTTTTAAACATATTTTTAGGAATTTGAATAGTCAATTATGTTGTTATGAACATTTTAATTATATATTAAAATCATGAATATTTGTATTTTATTCCATGTATAATGCAAAATAGTATTATGAACTTTCTATTACTACTTTTGAAGTTATTTGTCATGAAATACACGAATTATGAATACTATAATTATATTAAAATTTAATATATCTTATGAATATGACTCATATTAGGATTTGAATAATTAAAATTTGTATTTTGAATTTTGAATTCCTAATTTATAGAGGAGAAGATTACAGTATTATATGTTGAGATTATTTCCATAATTAAAGAATTAATTATATAGTTATATTAGAACGCGTATTCCCACATAACCCGTGTACCAAATATGATAAACACGGTTCACCATATAATCACTGGGATTAAACACAAGCATTGATTCAATGTGATCACTAACATTCGGATTTTTTTTAAACCCCTGATGTATACCAATGTAGTTGAATATTTATTAATCCGTGTCCTTGCCCATGTATTACAAAAAACGCTTGATTTTCTAATGCTTTACGTAAATCAATACTAGTTATTATTTGTATATCGTTTTGAGTTGGTAATCGTAAATCTGGTCCTTTAATTTCTTCATCTGCTATCAAAATCAAGTGCATTACTAAACCACTCTAACATTTGGAAGCCTAGAAATCGAACTAAAATTCAGTTGTAGATAATAATATTGGTGCAAAAGAAGCACGTCTAGAATTTGAATGTTCGCTAGTTTCACAAAAGGAGCATGAGCATGAGGTCACATCTCTAGAAGACATACAAAAAGTTTGAATGACTCTAGAGGTGAACATATATTTATAAGCTAATTATAAGCACTTAAACCATTCCGACAAGGCAGCATCTCTACAAACTGATCATTAATAGAACGATGGCATAGACGGGATGATCTGTTGACTGATTACAGGATACCCGTTTCATGCGGCACAAGTGAAACGATCTTTGATGCATGGTATTATTGCACTTTCACAAGGATTTATCAATTTTTTTCCTTCACAAATCAAGTTTGCTATTATTCTTTACTCGAGAGTTGAGATTCAGTTCAAATTAAATTTTATTGCTGATTCTCACATCTGTTTGTCATCAAATTTTTGGTGGGGTTGGAACCCATGAACAAAAACCGATCAAGTAGATCAACTGTACGCTTGTCTAAGTTGTTGGCGAAAGTTAGCAAAAGAATCCTTCGTTTATAAGGAGAGATATTTTAGGTGATAAGTTTAGGAAGTAAAAATAGAAGAGAATGATATTTTGGGAGGAAGAGAGCTTTACTACTTTGTAGTAAAAGGAAACAAGGTGGAATGTGTTAAACTTTTAGTTTATGAAGTCTTCCAACTTCTCTACACACACTTATATTAGGGGGCTAACTCCTATTTATAGTGATGCATGGAAGGTTCTACATGTTTTCAAGATTTTTCTATAACACCTAAATATCTTGATATTTTATTCAAATGTCTATATTTTTCTCAAAGATATTTCCTATAAATTATTATAAAACTTCTAGATATTTTTATACACATTTCTACACATTCTAGATATTGTTCTAGAATATTCCTATTATTTTCTAATATCTTCTTTTTCTAGAATTCTCTTTTTAATGGGCTAGGACTTGTAACTAATTAATACTTATGGTTCAACTTAATAACCTTGGGTAGCCCAATATTACTTACACCAATCAAGTTTATTTACTAACATAAATAACTTATATCAAAATGCAAAACCATTGTTTATAAAATAAAAAAAATGCAAAACCATTCAATCTAAACAGGTAACGTAGATGTTCAGGAATCACCAAATAAAGAGCTATTTGGTGCCCCGTTTAGCTCAACCCCACTAAACATTTTTCCCAGTAAAATGCCCGGGTTCCGATTTAGTTGCCTGTTTATACTTCATATCGAGTACTAGAAGTGGTTAGCGTGTTATCAGTTGCATGAACATAATTTTCTTTTACCTGTGGAAATCAAAATAAGTACCCAATTAAGGAAGATAAGTAATATACGTGAATTTAATAATAATAATCGTATGGTTCATATAAAATCACATTCTGTCCTTGGTAATCAATGTTATTATTACTTGGTCTTAATAGCGAGTTTTATTATTTCTATTCATAATTTTAGAAAATATGATTATTTAGTACTTTAATACTTTAGACATTAGTTTTCGTACCCCCCAAAAAAAAAAAAATCAAATTCTGTGGAACCGAAAAACCAAAAACTGAAGTTTCATTTTATTTTTGGTTTTGGTTAACTGTTCATTTTGGTTCAAAATTCCATATAGTTAATCTTCTTTAAAAGAAAATTCTGAAATACCCGCAACAAAAACCTCAATCACCAAACCGCGGATGCCCAAACTTCACACTAACCGTTTAATACTTGCTAGGATTGAATTGATTACACACAACAACTTATTGGGTCAAAATATTAAAAACCAAAAGAAAGTGATGACTACGTTAAAGCATTCGAATTTCTGAATGAAGGACGGTATGGTGCACGAGTTACAATAGTATAGTACTAACTCAGATGGAAATATATCCATAAATCCCGAGAATTAAATTCCACAACTACCCACAGTACAAAAGTAGAACGAAGTCAATGAATTATCATCATAGCTCCTCCTCTCTCATCTTCTATGGGCTCTGACTTATTGTTCCTCTCCTCCATCTGACGATTTCTTCTTCGTAAAAGAAGGTAAAATTTCATTGTTTGATCGGGTTTTGGATTTGTTTTATTGATTCAAGTGTGGGTCTTGTGTTTGGTAGATCAGGGTCGAAAATATTTAAATGATAGCATTTTTTCCTCTAGGTTGTGGATGTAATTAAAAATTTAATTTAACCTTTTTTTTGGATGTCTTTGGCACTGCAATTTTAATTTGAAGTGGATTTCATTTTCTTTTTAGGATGATTTCATAAATCAATCCTTAGGATTAATGGAAATGGAAGCACCCAACACTGGCATGAACGATGCTTGCCGATTGACAAATGACAAGGCCGTCGCGACATGGAAGAATGGTGGGAGATCAAAGGTGAAAGGCTGGATTTGGTTAGACAACTTAATGATATTACGGACTATCAGAAACCGCGAGCAGGTAATATGAGCTTAAATTCATCCAAGGTTTATTTGTCTTGCTTCTATATGATCTTTATGAATCTGTACTGGACTCTAAAATGATTTTCTTTGTTTTTCTTTTGTTGTATTAGTAATGGAATTGAATTAAATGAGCAGTGAATTAAGAATGTAGACTTCCGGGTTGATGGGTTGAGTCGTGGACAAAATTTTCTAGGTAAGATAATCCAAAACAATGTCATGATTGATTATGCTAATCTGAAGATAGGCAATCATAATGTCCTTCTCTAATCTAGATAAATAAAAGGGTGAATATGTTACCTCACAGCACTCGATTATTCTCATAAACAGAGTATAAATGTGTCACATGAGGCACCTTCAAAATCAAAGAGAAAGCAGTTCCACATCAAAACCTATGGAATTTTATTTCTATTTTTATTTTTAAAGAAAAAACGGCCCTCTTATTTTATATAGCATCTTCTCTCCTTCCATACTATAAGCATCTTCGCGGAATTCACGCATGCATCCTTAATTAATGTTTACTCTTTCCTTTTAGTACCTCAATACATATGTTCTGAATTAATATGGGACTTTCTCTTAGAAAGCAGTCATGAAACTTCAAAAAGGAAGTGAGAGAGAACAACAACTTAGCTACATGAAGTCAAAACCAAGACTTGTTGTAATGTCTCTTAAGGATATCGAGTTTCTCTGCGAGATCGGTTACAGGGGAGGGCTGAAGATGTACTTTGATGTCTGATAAGTTAGACATTGGTGATGATTAACCACAAATAATGATAATAATAAAATTGAATAAAATTTTTATTATTTTTTTTTTGGGTAGACATCTGTTGTTCGTTCCATTTAAGGGGAAGCTTTGCATATCCAAGCTTTGCAAAGCATTGGGATTGCTGCCGTTTAGTAAGCATTTTACAAGTATTTTCACGTGAGGGACTCAGGCAATATTAGTAGTGATGGCCTAATTCTTTGTAATTAGAATTAATAATGTTTGCGCGTCATGGTTTGAACAAGGAGTCCGTATCCAGTGCACCCGGGTGTACCGTATAACCCCCCACCAAACACACGCGCACTACGCGCTCAACTGTTTTTACCTTTACATTAAATGTACACAGAAAGTTGTTTTCATCAATTTCATCCTCACGCATAAACACACACAAACACACAGTCGACGGAAACTCTCCATTTTTGGGCAAACCCCCACACACACACAGACGACGGCGAGAAACCCTACGTCCGGCCATCTCCTTCATCTATACATGCTTCACTGGTAAGTATATTACTCCGGGATCCTTCTGTGTATCCGCTAGATCTGAACTATTTATCCATGGTTTCCTGCGTATGCTATGTGATCGTTATCCATGCCATAATCTCTAGTTATCCATCTATATCATACTGACATTTGTTATCCATCTATTTCATTCTGGTTATCCACAAGTTGTAGAGTGGTTATCCAGAAGTTGTAAAGTGGTTATCCACAAGTTCTAAACTGGTTATCCATGCTTTTTTTACGTTTTATTCTATGTGGCATGGTTTTGTGTTTTTTTTGTTACTTGTTTAGGGTTTAGGGTTTAGGGGTGCTTGTCCAAACTTTGTTTCTGATTATCCACCAATTTTAACTTGGTTATCCGCATGGTTTAAACTGGTTATCCATAGTTTTTTTTAGATGTGCTTTTATGTCGCTTCGTCCGTACATTATTTGCTGGTTATCCACCCATTTCATACTTGTTATCCACAAGTGGTAAACTGGTTATCCACAAGTTGTAAACTTGTTATCCATGGTTTTTTTACATTTTATTCTATGTGGCATGGACAAACTGAACTGGTTATCCACTATATATCTGAAATGGTTATCCAAGTTTTCCTGCGTGTGTGGTATTGGGTGCTTGTCCAAAATTTGTTTCTGGTTATCCACCCATTTTAACTTGGTTATCCGCGGTGTGTAAACTTGTTGTCCATTGTTTTTTTTCGATGTGTTTTTTATCTGGCTACATGTCCATACATTATTTGCTAGTTATCCACCCATTTCATACTGGTTACTCCTTTTTTAATTACTACTCCTTTTCATATCCTGCTATTTTGTCCACTGACTTCTTACTGATTGTGCAATGCCAACAGTGCCCTAAAGGAGGCTAGAACAAAATATAGGCACAATTGGATCAGCGCAAGTCACGACCTCCAGTGCAACCCAGACAGATCACCGGATCCTGAACCAGAGAATATAATGGAGCTCCCTGAAGGAACACTGACCATATATAAAAAACAAAAATCAACCCAAGAAGAACAAGACAAACAGTCCCTTGTACAAACTCCAAGGTCCCAAAACTTGTGGAGAAAACCAAAGAGGAAGAAGAGCACACCGATAGGAAATCCAAAGCAACTTGTGGTTGCTGATGACAACGATGATAAAAAGCCCAAAAAGAAATGAATGAAACCTGAGAACAACAAACTGATGATTGGTCAAGATCCACGGCCAATCAGTTCTGAAGATTACGTCAAGAAATTTGAGACAAGGATGAGATCAAACCATCTCTTCCAACTCATCTCCGAAATCAATAAACTAACAGATCTTACAAAATAGCCAGATGCGGTAGATTATCGCCAACTACAAAGGCAGGCTATCAGAGATATAGGATTTGGCGCCTTGCTGGATCTCAAAATCAAAAATATTCCAACAGCCTTGTGTAATTTTCTGGCAAGCAATTTCCAGACCGGTGCAAGACAAGTCCCATTGAATGGGAACAATGTACTGGATATCAAACAGGAAGATGTTGTTGCTGTACTTGATCTTCCTCGTGGACCCAAACCAGTGGAAGAATTCAAACAGAATGATGCCGCTATAACGGACCACGCTGAGATGGTGAATGCGTTCAAAAAAAAAATGGGATACAGTAATGAATTCCTGCCAACGAGATCCACCGCGGCACAATTAATTGCTGGTCGAAAAGATTTTGGTGATGACTTCAAACGAGATTTCCTCGTCTTTGTTGTGAGCACATTCCTACATGGAAACACCACTTCCAGGATCACAATGAACATCCTGAAGTCCCTCGTGAACATCAATGAAGTGACACAATACAATTGGTGTCAATATGTGATTGATGCACTGGTGAAAGGATGCAAAAGTCATCACGATGGGAAACCATTCACCGGACCAATCACTTTTTTCCTGGTACTTACCATATCCGTATAAATTTTACTAGTTATCCATATTGCTTGTAATGTTTATCCAATTTGCTTGTACTTGTCTGATGTGATTGTACTTGTCATCCAACTAATTTGTACTGCTTATCCAACCCTCTTTTTTCCCTTTAAATGGTTATCCATTGTGTTCCTGCCGGTTATCCAGCCTATTTGAACTCATTATCCACTTCATTTGAACTGGTTATCCAATCTGTCTAATTTGTACTGCTTGTACTGATATCATTAACACCAACTTTTTCTTTTTGGTTAGTTGTGCTACCTAAACAGGTGTGAGTATGAAAGAGCACATCCGAGGTCATTCCCTGTGATCAAATCTTGGGATCAAAAGATGCTGGACGACAGAATAAGACTTCAGGGAAGCAATTTCACAGATGTCTAGACACTTGAACGTCTCAAGAAACCGTCCTCAGCAGCATCCCGAGATGAACAACCAGAGGTTGAATCACGGGAGGATACACAGGGAAACCCCAGCACACAGCAAGTCTATGTACTGTTCTACCATTTTTTTTCAGATCAAACTTACGTATCCAACCTAGCATCTCCACATTCCACTAACTACATTCAATTTTGCAGGACCTTGCCGCTCTTTATGAAAAATTCTACCAATTGATTATCACGATGAGCAAAACTGTTTTAGACATTCGTGAGAAGGAAATACAGTTAAGAATCGAACCAGATGAACAAGCATAGCAAACAATCAAGATCCTAATAGATGCAATGGTGTCGATGAGTAGAAAGATGCCTCCGCCTTCAGGTACAACGCAACTGGAACAAGAGCAGCAGAACACCAAAGAAGACCTCCAGGATGCACAGATTTGTGAATTGTGCGAGATGTCATGGAAGTGCGCTGAAAGCAGATTTGCAACAATCATAGAACAGCTGCAACGACAAGTAGCTGAGCAACAAGAACAACAGCAACACCAACAAACTGATGACAACACTGTACAAGCTCCAATTAATCTTGCAAAATTTCAAGACATTGAAATTGACAAAGCACAGGGACTGGAGCAATTGAGCCAGACAAATGATGAGGCTTCTATTGCAGTGGGGAAATCTTTGCCTACTTCAAAAGAAGTGGTGATTGATGAACCACAAACTCAACTACAAGGGCCACAGGGACTGCATCAATTGAGCCAGACAAATGATGAGAATTCTCTTCCAGTGAGGAAATCCGTGCCTACTTCAAAAGAAGTGTTGGTTGATGAACAACAAACTCAACCACAAGGTAATGAAAAAAATACTTGTCTGATGTGATTTTACTTGTCATCCAACTAATTTGTACTGCTTATCCAACCCCTTTTTTATCCCTTTAGATGGTTATGCATTGTGTTCCTGCTGATTATCCATCCTATTTGAACTGATTATCCAATTCATTTGAACTGGTTATCCAATCTGTCTAATTTGTACTGCTTATCCAACCCCTTTTTATCCCTTTAGATGGTTATGCATTGTGTTCTGCTGATTATCCATCCTATTTGAACTGATTATCCACCTCATTTAAACTGGTTATCCAATCTGTCTAATTTGTACTGCTTATCCAACCCCTTTTTATCCCTTTAGATGGTTATGCATCGTGTTCCTGCTGATTACCCATCCTATTTGAACTGATTATCCACTTCCTTTGAACTGGTTATCCAATGTGTCTAATATATATGTACCTTCGTACTGATTATCCAACATTTCAACTTTGTATTGCAGAACATGCAACGAATGTCTCCACGACAGAAAAGAAAAGATCCCATCAACATTCCACCGGCCGGGATTAAGGTGTGATATCCACCTATACCAAAAGGTCGAGAAGCACTGGTACCAAGAAAAGGAAAGCATTGAAGACGCAACTATCCCACGCTTTAACCTGGGTATCTTCTCCAGTCAGGAAGACAGTTACGAGACAACCCAGGAGAAGAACACTCAGGAAGATTTCACAGTAAGGGTTGATCTGGATAAAGATGTGAATGAGACTATAGAAGCAGAAGAATATCCAGTACCATCTGCACTCGATGAAACAAAGAATCCCAGTCCTTCCACCGATGAAATTATAAGAAGGGCCAGTGCACCAGCTTCAGAATCGTTGAGTGATACAGAAAAACTAGAGATCATTGCGGCTATTGCACAACAAGTTGAGAAAAACCCAGAGGTGGTTGAAGTAGTCCCTTTAAGCATAATTCCACCCAATTGGAATGTTGCTTCTACCACGGGTGGTCTACTCATGCTGGACAAAAATGAGTGTACCACGCCACCGCCTGCAATCTCAAAGAAAGCTGAAGTACTTGATGAAGGGTTAACAAAGAGTGGAAAAGTAAGTTTTATCCACTGTGAATGCTCACAACAAAATAGAAAAACGAATTTACATACTAACTCTCTTTTGTTTTGTCCTAGGATCCTCAATCAAAAACCTAGGAGGAGAAATCCACCAAGAATCCACCGGTTGCCCGAATGGTTCAGGTCGCTGTTCATGCTGCAGAAGAAAAACAAGAAAAAATTCATACAGTTGACAGAGGAGAAGAAGAAAATGACCGAAGAAGAAGCCCTGTTGATAGACTTCACTCTCTTGCAGAGACAAGAAGAAATAGTTAAATTAGGGTAAAAGCCACCATCCTTACCCGTGCGATAAAAAACTTACCAGTTTTCCAACTATTTGTCTATTTGACTACTTTTTCTATGCAGGAATTTCTTGTTTGAATTTGGAAAAATTGTTTGGGCAGACAGGACAATATTCTATTCCATGAGGGAAGGCACATGGACAGAAAACAGCATCATAGATGCTTAGGCTGTCATCCTAAACAAAGAAGAAGCTAAAAGTGACTCCCCAAGTCGGATATTCTTTGGTGTTTCTGTATTTGTAAGTCAATCAAACCATTATTGTTTATCCACTCCTGGTAAAATACTTGTCACATGTCTGCAAGTTGTTTATCCAAAGGCTTTCCACTAGTTATCCAGCCATAACGGGTGGTTATCCACATTCTGTAAACTAGTTATCCAGACATAATTGCTGGTTATCCACATTCTGTAAACTAGTTATCCATGCCTTTTTTTTAGTTGTGCTTCTATGCGGCAGCTTGTCCATACATTATTTTGCTGGTTATCCATCATTGTTGTATAACTGACCTACCTATAAGTAATCATCAGGAAGATCATGCATGACCACTAACACTTATTATCCAGTTTGTTACTAATGCTTGTCCATCAGAGTTCAACTGGTTATCCATTCATTCTTGTTTGTCATCTAGGGTACTTTTGGTTGATCTTGTATGTGCTTGATTCCGATCATTGTTTTCTACTGCATTTTTCAACCATTGTACTGATCATTGTATCATTTTCCAGCCACCCCAAACAATAACGCAGGGTACAATCAGTCGATACATCCAACCGGGCAGTAACAAAGAAGAACTAGAGTTTACATTCTATGAGAGGTTGGCTATTGAACTAGAAGAACAAGGACTTAGTGTAGGATCCCTGATAGTTGAAAAAGCTGTAAGCAACATCTTTCACCTCCTTCACTCTTTCTATAACTGGCTGTTAAAAAATTTTCTTATGATTTCCCCTTTCAATGTGAAAAATCAGATCTACTTCCCAGTACACTACCGAGAGCATTACTTCTTGTATGTGTTGCTGGTTCAAGAAAAGAAAGTGCTTGCATTCAACAATCTTCATGCAAAAGATCTGGACTACTACAAGCCAACAAAAGATCTACTTGTGAGTGAAAAAAAGATACAAAATGATTGTCATACTTTAAGAATTATCGATTGCATTTTTCTAATCCTTGGATTTTATGTCATCACAGTTTTGGTTCTTCAAAATGTACCTGCAATGCCTGTTTCCACACATAGAACTGGTCACTGTTCAGTACACATTGACAGAGGTTACGCTACCATCACACAACGACAAAAAACCGAATGCGGAAGATTGTGGAATATTCACAATGCACCACATGGAGCAGTATGATGGTGGTGACTACGAGAACGGTACTACTTTGGATTTTCACACAGGAAACATCAAAGAGTACCGGTGGAGATACATGTTAAAAATCTTATGTACCCATCCAACAAAAATAAGGACAAAATCCTCGAAGCAATGCACCAGTTCTACACAAAGAATCCGGCTGATGGTGTTATAAAGAATCCGGCTGTAAAGAGGAGCGAGTCAACAAAGTCAGAGGCAAAACTTGAGCAGCTCCCTTTGGATAAATGGCATGCTTTGATAATGCAGGTCTGATGCAACTGAAGCTCTTGTTCGGTCTGCAGCAATTCTTGCATTTGTTTTCCTGCCTCTGACTTTGTTACATGTCTTCTCAACAATGCTTTTAGGATGTTCGTTCCTGGGATCAAACTTCTTCCTCTTTACAGCCGGATTCTTTATAACACCATCATTGTCTACAGACTCATCATTATTATATGAACCAATGAAACTGCCGAGTTCTTCTTTAAGCCTGTCAACAACCTCGTCACAACATTTCTTTGCATCTTTGTTATATTCACTTACATACACCAAGTCTGAAAATCGTCTCATAATTAGTGCCTTCCAAAGGGAAGACAAGGTACTACTAGAAAAAACATCTTTGCCAGGAACGAACATCCGGCTGTAAAGAGGAAGAAGTTCGGTCCCAGGAATGAACGTCCTAAAAGCATTGTTGAGAAGGCATGTAACAAAGTTAGAGGCAGGAAAACAAATGCAAGAATTGCTGCTGACCGAAGAAGAGTTTCAGTTGCATCAGACCTGCATTATCAAAGCATGCCATTTATCCAAAGGGAGCTACTCAAGATTTTTCAGACTCAGGAAGTTTTGCTGCTGTGAATGCTTCCCATCGAAGTATGCCATCTTTGAACGTAAATTCTGGTGGATTCTTATTTACTAATCCAAGTGTAGCTGCCCAGGATTTTTCAGGGGCAGGGGCTTCCACTTCTGTGAATGCTTCTCATCAAAGAATACCATTCATCAACGAAAATTCCGGTGGATTCTCATTTCCAATTCCCAAGGGAGCTGTCCAGGAGTTTCAAGGCGAGAGCACTTCCGCTGCTATGAATACTTCTCATAAAAACATGACATTCATGAATCAAAAGTTTGGTGGGTTCTCATTTTCTAAACGAAGGGAAGCTGCCAGGGAGGCTAGAGCGCAGCGTTTTTTCAACAAGATGTTTTATTAGTATTTTTACTTGATGTTGAAACGAACAGTATTGATGGTGTAAATATTTTTATTTAAAAATTATAATTTATTTTAAATTGCAGTATTATCCAACCAGCTTGAACTGGTTATCCATTTTGTTTGTACTGCTTATCCAAGTGGTTATTTTAAATTGGTTATCCATTGTGTTTATGCTAACTGGTTATCCAACTTGTATGTACTGGATATCCACTCATTTGGTTTGTATGCCTATCGAACTTCTTTATTATGGATATCCCACTTGTTTGTAATGGATATCCATTTCGTTTGTATTGGATATCCAACTCGCTTGTACTGGATATTCATCCATTGGGTTTGTATATCTATCCAACTTGTTTTGTAGTTGTAATCCAACAAGTTTGTATGTATATCCAACTTGTTTGTGCTGGATATCCAACTCGCCTATACTGGATATCCAACTCACCTGTACCGGATATGCAACTTTAAATGCATATGGATATTACAAAAAAGACATGAACATGTTGAGCACGCTTTCTTCACAAATAATATCATTGGATAACCAACATAGATATTGTGGATAATTAGTACAAAGTCCTGGGAAATAAGTTAACAAGGGAAAGATAATTTTTTTTAAAAAAAAATCCTAAAAGTGTGTTAATGTCTCCCAGAAGTAACATGCTGTATTGATGAAACTAGTTTCTAGATCCGGCGATGTACTTGAGTGTGTGATTTTCCTGGTAGGAACACTATGCAACAACAAATGTCAATTATCGTATCCTTTGACAATGAACTGTCCCGCTGGAGATGATTTGTGGCTTAGAAACATTGGATAAAGCCAATCATGGTGGAACTGTAATCCGTGTGCAACGTGTGTGTTCACATTTGGGAATTCATGGGTCTCAAACATGCAATCCCATGTGGAAGTATCTGGATCCCATGCCCACATCTGACAGTGATGATTCTGAGTAATGTGGTACTCAGCTATTACACACACAGTCCCCTGGAAGTCCAATATTTTCACTTGAAGATTCATTTGATAAGGATCAGTGGGGTTAAAGAAGATTGGAGATGGAGGGCAGTTTATGGTTTGGCATTGTTGAGTGTGGTAGTCAAACACGACTAGCAACTCTGGAGGTGTAACTATTTCAGAGGATAGTTTGTCTACACGCCAGTACACGAATCTATCAAACCAGGTTGGACATACATTGCAAAGTGTTTTTCATTCCCCTCTATGAATACTTGAACAACTTTAAAAAGAAAAAATGCAGCCTTGCATGTTTTTTCCATCGGCAATAAGGGCCATGAAAACGTAAGTTTTTGAGGATGATACGTACCCAAATGCTGTTTCACAATTGCTGAGAGGAACATCATATGGCCATTCAATTGATGCAAGTTGTGTTGTCTTTGGGTTCAAGAATTTGACTTGAGACCTGGTTTGCAGACAGACCAAATCTGTGGTGACAGGCTTGATTTTATGGATGCCGTTGTCACCCATCGACATCTCTTTTTACAATCGTATGTGGTTGCATGGGTTATCCATTTGTACTTTTATGTTGGTGGCGATTAGTTTGTCTTGCAACAGGTGACCTTCTTGTCTTGTTTGAGTGAAAACAAGGATGTTGTTTTCAGCTGCAGGGGAGCTCATTTCATGTTTTTGAAGAATTCTTGTCTTTTCGTCATTTGCTCCCAAGCTTTGCTGACACGATGGAACTCACCAATTTTTTTCAATGTCAGATTAATGAACATATTATCAAGCATATCGTGATGGATATATTCAGGGTAGTTGTTCTTTTCTTGCTTTGCTTGCCTGGGCGACATTTGTTTGGTTGTGGAATTTGAGGAAATTTTTTCGTTTTTCATTTTTTTCTGGCTGTTGGATGTTTTGGATGCTCAAATCAGGCATTCTGGTGTATGTGCAGATGAGGGAGTTTTATAGAAATGCTGTATGTGGAGATGTCAGGGAGTTTTATGGAGACTTTGCAGGTAGTTTTTTTTTTTTTTTTCTTTCTAATATTGACGGAGGTAGGTTGACGGATTAACTACCCATGCAGTCCTATCTTTTTGCCCAAATCAGTGTCTTCTCACTCTCTATTCATTAACTGTCATTGTGATAATCAAGAAACTCATTTAATGATAGTTATGTAACTGATCCTTATTCAATCTATTCCATGTAAAAACGTGTGGCTCTGTAACTACCCATTAGATCATGATTTACTCTGCACAAACATCGGCCTTTTCAGTTTTCTTTTTTTTATTTTTACTCCCTCAATCTTTTAAATTCTATTTAATTACAAAATGTGTGGATTTTCAGTTATACACAGTAACATGCTCCACACTGTGGATAACCAGTATTGACACTGTGGATAACCAGTGTGCACACTATGGATAACCAGTTAAACACAGCTGGATAACCAGTGTTGACACTTGGACAAGCATTTTTCATAAAGAATAAAAACAAAGTAAAAATTCAATAAGCATTACAAACCGTTTGGATAATCAGTACTAACACATTGGGCAAGTACTGATAACCATTTTGGATAACCAGTGCAAACCAGTTTGAAAGTCATTAGAAAATGACTGGATAACCATTATTAACTTGTTGGATAATCAGTGTTGACAACGCGGACTATCATGTTTTTCCTTTTATATTTTTCTTAGATATGCTTGTCCGTTTTTTACACTGGTTATCCAGCTGCCCCTCATTCATTTTTTGTTCTCCATCATTTGGCAAACTGCCCTCATTCAATTAAATACTATTTATGAAATTTGCCATGTTCGGCATGGGGGCGATACAGCCGCAGGCACCGGCGCAGCCGGGTCATTTAGTTTATCATGGGGGATTTATACAAGTATTTAAACTCTATTTAATTACAAAACGTGTGGCTTTTCAGTTATACACACTAACCAACTACACACTATGGAGAACCAGTGTTCACAATGTGGAGAACCCGTATTGGCACTATGGATAATTAGTTATACACAGTTGGATAACCAGTATTGACAATATGGATAATTAGTTATACACAATTGAACGTACCTTATTTCCACCATTTGGCAAACTGCCCCTCATTCATTTTTTTTTTCTCCATCATTTGGCAAAATACCCCTCATTTAATTAAATACTATTTATGAAATTGTCGTGTTCGGCAGGGGGGCGGGGCAGTCGGGTCGTTTAGTTTATCACGGGGGGATTTATACAAGTAATTTGTCTCACCGCTTAACGCAATAACACACTCTCCGTACACACACACTCTCCTCACACACACACGAAAATAGGATTACCTTAGCTACATTGGCGTGTTCGGTAGGGCCGCGCAGCCGGGGCAGGTTGGTGACCTGTGATTCCGGTAGCCGCGGGAGTCGTTTAGTTTATCATGGGGGGGCAAAGCCCCCCCAATTAACATGCCGATTGCTTCTTTAATTAAAATACTCTCCTGCCGGCGGTGATAATCGGCGAGGGATTAGGTAGCCTTTTTTGTAGTCTCAGAGGTAGTTTGACGGATTATTGCTGTTTTAATTTATGTTAAATTTAATCTATGTTAATTTATGGAATCTGAGTTAATTTGATGCATAATTTATTCTGCACATTGGCTGGATAACCATTACAAAAATCCTAGATAATCAATACAGAGTATTGGATAATCAGCAAAGAAATATTGGATATGAAGTATAACATCATAGGATAGGCAGTTTAACAAAGAAGTCGAAAGACCAAGAAATTGGGACACTCAGTTTTTGTTGTTTGGGAATTTATAGAAATATTTGGACAACCAAAATACATTGTTTGGATATTTTCTTATGGAAACAACGACAATGGTGCCTGGAAAATACCTAGCGACAATGATTTGGTTTAGGTCCAGTACCAATCGGGGACTTTTGTTATGTCTTTTTGGAAGCCCTGTTTGAATCCTTGTTTTATTATGTCCACATGGTGGATAGGCATTGGTTACATATGGATAAGCAGTATTGAGGTTTTTAATAACAAGTATAAACTCATGGATAATCAGGTTAAAGACTTTACTTGAATTTTTTTGACTGGATAATCACTATAAAACATTCGGATAATCAGGTGTAAACAAGCTGGATAACTAGTACAAAGATCATAGATAACCATTACAAATGGTTGGATAATATACTAAGATGGCCAGTACACAGCTGTTGGATATCAAACACTTTAGGATCAACAGTCAATCAATTATACAAGAGAACATAATGACAGTTCATTTAACCCATCCCTCAGTTTTTCTGTCATTGTAGTAAGATTCGCTGCTCAAATCAACATGACCTGTAATTTCTTTTTGTTTTTCTTCAGCAGTATTTGTATAGAACTGGTGCATTGCTTCGAGGACTTTGTTCTTATTTTTGTTGACTGGATGCATTAGGATTTTTATCTTGTATTTCCACCAGTAGTCTTTGATGTTTCCTGTGTTGAAATCCAAAGTAGTACCATCCTCGTACTCACCACCATCATACCGCTCCATGTGATACATTGTGTATATTCCACAATCTTTCTCATTCGGCGTTTTGTCCTTAGGCGATGGTAGTTTAACCTCTGTGAAGGTGTATTGAGTACTGACCAGTTCTATGCCTGGAAACACATGTGCGATATAGCTTTTGAAGAACCGAAACTGTGATGCCATAAAATCCAGGGATTAGCAAAATGCAATGGATAATTCTTAAAGTATGACAATCATTTTGTATCTTTTTTTCACTCAGAAGTAGATCTTTTGTCGGGTTGTAGTAGTCCGGATCTTTTGCATGAAGTGAAGATTGTTGAATACAAGCACTTTCATTTCTTCAACCAGCAACACATACAAAAAGTAATGGTCTTGGTAGTATACTGGGAAGTAGGTATGATATTTCACATTGAAGGGGGAAATCATATGAAAATTTTTAACAGCCAGTTTTAGAAAGAGTGAAGGGGGTGAAAGATGTTGCTTACAGCTTTTGCTGCTAACAGGGATGCTACAGTAAGGCCTTGTTCTTCCAGTTCAAGAGCCAACCTCTCATAAAATGTGAACTCCATGTCGTCTTTGTTACTGCCTTGTTCATAGTAGCGACTGATTTTATCCTGCGTTATTGTTTGATATGGTTGGAAAATGATACAATGATCAGTACAATGGTTGGAAAATGCAGTAGAAAACAATGATCAGAATCAAGTACATACAAGGTCAACCAAAAGTACCCTAGATGACACACAAGAAGGAACGGTTAACCAGTTCAGATCTTGTGAATAAGTAGTACAAAACATATGGATAACTAGTAAATGAATCATGGACAAGCCACCACATACAAGGGAGACGAAAACAATCCCATAGCAAAATGCATAACAAGAAGGCTTGGATAACCAGTTCAACTCTGGTGGACAAGCATTAGTAACAAATTGGATAATAAGTACAAACATATGGATAAACAACTTGCAGACATGTGACAAATATTTTACCAGGGCGGGATAAACAATAAGGGTTTAGTTGACTTACAAATGATGAAACACCAAAGAATATCCATGTTGGGGAGTCACTCCTAGCTTCTTCTTTGTTTAGGATGACAGCCCAAGCATCTACGATGCTGTTTTCTATGCATGTCCCTTCCCTCATAGAATAGAATGTTGTCCTGTCTGCCCAAACTATTTTTCTAAATTCAAACAAGAGTTTCGTGCATAGAAAAAGTAGTCAAATAGACAAATAGTTGGAACACTGGTAAATTTTTTATCCTAGGGTAAGGATGGTGACTTTTACCCTGATTTAACTATTTCTTCTTCTCTTTATAAGAGAGCGAAGTCTATCAACAGGGCTTCTTCTTAGGTCATTTTCTTCTTCTCCTCTATCCACTGTATGAATTTTTTCTTGTTCTTCTTCTGGAGCATGAATGGCGACCTGAACCGTTCGGGCAACCAGCGGACTCTTGCTGGATTTCTCCTCTTAGGTTTTTCATTGAGGATACTAGGACAAAACAAAAGAGAGTCAGTATGTAAATTCATCTTTTTATTTTGTAGTGGGGAGTCACAGTGGATCAAACTTACTTTTCCACTGTCTTTGTTAACTCTTCATCAAGCTTATCAGCTTCCTTTGAGATTGCAGGCGGTGGCGTGATACACTCATTTTTCTCCAGCATCAGTAGGCCACCCGTGGTAGAAGCAATATTCCGATCGGGTGGAATTATGCTTATAGGGACTGCTTCAATCACCTTTGAGTTCTTCTCAACTTGTTTTGCAGCAGCGGCAATCATCTCTAGTTTTCTGGTATCATTTAATAATTTTGAAGCTGGTGCACTGGCCCTTCTTATGATTTCATCGATGGAAGGAGTGTGATTCTTTGTTTCGTTGAGTGCAGATGGTACTGGATATTATTCAGCTTCGATAGTCTCATCGACATCTTTATCCGAATCGACACTTCCTGTGATATTTTCGACGGAATGACTGGGAGTGTTCGTTTCTTCAACTGGAGCTGGTACTAGAACATCATTATCTTTGGTATGCTCATTGAATTGTTTTTCTGAATCGTCTTCCTCAGTGTTCTTCTCCTGGGTTGTCTCGTAACTGTCTTCCTGACTGGAGAAGATACCCATGCCAAAATGTGGGATAGTTGGATCACTAAGAAGTCAGTGGAAAAAATAGCAGCATATGAAAAGGAGCAGTAATCAAAAAAGGAGTAACCAATATAAAATGGGTGCATAACCAGCAATGTATGGACAAGTAGCCATATAAAATCACATCTAAAAAAAAATGGATAACCAGTTTACACCCTACGGATAACCAGTATAAAATGGGTGGATAACCACAAACAAAGTTTGGATAAGCACCCCATAGCACACATGCAGGAAAACATGGAACCAGTTCAGATATAATGGATAATCAGTAACAAAAAAATACAAAAACATGGATAACTAGTTTACAACTTGTGGATAACCAGTTTACAACTTGTGGATAACCAGTTTACACCTTCTGGATAACCAGTATACAACTTGTAGATAACCAGTATAAAATGGGTGGATAACCAGTATGCTATGTGGATAACCAGTTTACAGCTTGTGAATAACCAATATGAAATGGGTGGATAACCAGCAATTATGGCATGGACAACCATCACATAGCACACACACGAGAACATGGATAACCAGTTCAGATCTAGTAGATAAACACAAAATATTGCTGGATAATAAAAAAAAATAGGATCCCAGAGTAATATACTTACGGGTGAAGCATGTATAGACGAAGGAGAGTTTGGGATGGTCGGAGGTAGGGTTTCTGGCCGTCGTCGTGTGTGTGTGTGTGTGTGTGTGTGTGTGTGTGTGTGTGTGTGTGTGTGTGTGTGAAACAACAGACTGACAAAATGAAAAACGCATAAACAACTCAAAAATGTTGGATATCCAGTACAAATCAGTTGGATATCCAGCAAATAAAATTTGCATAGGCATGTAAATCCGTTGGATAACCAATACACATAAGCTGGATATCCAGTACAAACAAGTTGGATATCCAGTACAAACAAGTTGGATATTCATACAAATTTCATACAAGTTGGAAAACCAGCACAAAACGAGTAGGAAAACCAGTAAAACAAAAAAAAAGTTTCATAATCAGTACTTCGCATCGTCTATCCATGTTTACCACAATCAACAAAAAGCATATCCGCATATCCGTCTAAATAACTAACGATATTCAACACAATATAACTGCTTATCCACTTCATACACTATTAACAAAAACTATCAACAGAAAAATCAAGAAAAATAAAATGAAACAACTAGATTGATTCTTCTCTCACAAACAGTACACTCCGAAACCTACACAAACCTGATTGCAGCGGATCAACAATAGAACTGTGACCTTGTGTTGATTTGCTGGCACAGTAAGATTGTTCGATGGATTTGCTACCACTACATTCTGCATTCATCAAGCCGGAATCCTCAACGAGATAATTCATCACTCGATCTGAACTCAGCATATCGTAGATCCAATCATCGTTTCGCCACTCTGGTAGAATCGGAGCCTTTCCTCGATCGCTGAACAAAGTCACCGTCTCAACGACTCGATCGCGTCGGCCATATCCACCTCAACGTCTAGATCGCCGACTCCCGTTACCGCCTCAACGCCTCGATCGCCGCCGGCTGTCGCCCAAGTAGATAATTTGCCATATATAATTACAACAACTCACAGACACCGTAGGACTGCAACCCGCGAAGATAACGCAATCAAGTAGATGAATTTTATGGCTATTTTAGGTAATTCATTTCAATATGTCAGGCGATTCATACAAAATGGAAACGTGACAAACGGAGTTTTGTGTTCTTCAGCAAATTCGTACACCAATAATTAATTTATCTTCAACTATATATCAATATTCTAATGCCTAATAATAAAAGTTACAGCAGTAGCACGTGGGTACTAGTACTACACAGCAGAGACAAATGTATAGTAAATTTCAAGACTATTAATTCCTATCCCTCAACGACTTCCAGCTACTTAGGACTTTAGACAACCTACAAATTATTTACATCTGCAGACGAATTCGATCGAGCCTCCTTTGAGGATTTCTATTGGTGCTTCTATGATTTTTTTCCTTCTCATAGGTTTCTTTTTTTTTTTTTTTGGATGTTCTTCCCGTGTCGGAACCACAATAATTAAGTGCAGCTCAAAAAGTGTACTTTTATATGTGTATTTTTATAATTTTTACAACCAAAAAGTTGAAATACAAAAAGTATAATAATTTTTTAAATTTAAAAATTATGCTAATACCTACATATACAAGTAAATTGTTCATAATAAGTCGAAGAAAAACCCAAAAAATATTTTAAAAAATAATACATTTAAAGAATTATTAAAAAAATATAAAAATAAAGATATTGTCCATAAACTCAACTCAAATGCGTTAACCGTAAAAAATACCTCGCCGATATGATTAACAACTCAAAATTAGTAGAAATAAAAATAAGGTATTTTGACTTTTCCTAAATTTCAACCCATACGCCATTTTAATGGATAAAAAAATTTTAAAAATATTTCATAACAATCAAGACAATACGACAAATGTAAAAATATATTTTTAAGGTTTTTTTGTTAATAAAAAATGTATAGTATGTGAAATATAAAATAAATCAAAATATCTTATATTAAGAACCAGATGGAGTATCTTGGTGCTGTTTATATTGCAAAAGATTACTTTGATGATGAATAGCAAATGTTCATCTCAATTTCCCAGGCCGCGCCTTTTGCATTTTTCATCATTGTGGCCTTTTATTTATCTTTCTTGGATGAAGTTAATATGACAAAGATTAAAGAAGAAAATAATTTTATAAATGTTCTCTTTGTATTTTTTTTAAAATAAAAACCAGAACCTACGTATTAAGCGTTTCAAAATGACATATATTAAAATTTAAAAGAGCGCTTGAGTATTTATGAACTCTACCTTGACATTAGGCAATGTGGTGTAAATATTTTACCTTATTTACACACCTGTATATAGGTGACCTTTATATATAATCAATATGGTGATGGCTTAAGTGTCTTAATAACTTTGCTATTAAAACATTTTTAAGTGTCAAGAAAACTTATTTATCTTGTAATGTAGACACCATTTATTATTTGCATGCAACAATAAGTGAAATATTTTTTGTAGAAATAGGCCTGCTCAAATTTGTCCGACGACTCAAATCTTGATCAATCGGGTCATTGATTTTCGTCCCCGAGTATAATTAAGATAAAAATTTCGGAAAACCACAAAGTTAATTCGAGAAGAATGCATCTCTACAATTGAACTGCTGAAATGATTTATAAGCAATTCCAGGAGAGTGGAATTCCATGTCATGAGAAAATCTCGATTTTCTAATGAAAAATCTAAACGTGCACATTAGTTGTACCTTACGTACAAAACGTGATACGACACAAATAGTTAGGTGACAGAGTTCTTGCTACAAAGACTCATTGACTTAATTACGAAGAGTTAGACAATTGATTAATGGACCATTCAGTGGTGGGAGCTAGAAGTCGGTCGCCCTCACGTCAGAAATTTTTCTTTAGAGAGTAGTTTATATGAAAAGTCGAAAATGCCCTTGATTCCGGCATGTCAACTACCGGTCAACATCGAGCTAGACGAAAAAGTAGCCGAAACAGTGAAATTGGACCAAACAAGTGTGAAAATATAATGTTTGGGACTACAATATTAAAATGTTAATGTTAGGGACGTAAATTCAAGTAAGGCCAAATGTAAGAGACCATTTGAATATTTTAGTCTATTTATTTTAACATTTCTTCGTCCGTGAAAATTTTGTTTTTTATATTCAGAAAATCTAGATCCGCCACTGGGACCATTTAAAAGAAAATTAAAAGGAAAAAAAAGAATTGAAAATTCATGATCATCAACAAGTTCGTTTATGTACGACATGTTCCATGCTATATTATGCACCAATTGGAATTAAGTTAATTAGATTTAAGGATGTTTATGATGGTGAACTATGAGCCTTATCTTCTGTGTCACCCGTTCAAAAATATTGTTATTTGACAACGCCACGAGCTCGAAAATTGAATTTTATGGAAAACGCAATTGGGGAGAAGATGAACTTTAAGCTTGCTTTGGCAACTTATTATAAAAGTCCATGGTTCTACTTTAAAACCAATTGACAATGAGATGAGTAGATATATTGATATCAAACCTTTTCCACCATCAATGTGGGATACTCAACACCCCCCTACAAGTCCAACGCATCTTCTTGGGTTGAGCTTGTCTATTTGTTCTTCAGCCCAGTCACCGCCTCACGTCTCAGTCCTACCAGTTCTATCACATCAGGCTTGGAGTCCAATTTTTGGCGGGTATTCCACCCCCCTACAAGTCCAACGCATCTTCTTGGGTTGGGCATGTCTATTTGTTCTTCAGCCCAGTCACTGCATCACATCTCAGTCCTACCAGTTCTATCACATCAGGTTTAGAGTCCGACTCTTGGCGGGCTGGCTCTGATACCATGTAGAAGCCCATAGAGTTCTACATTAAAACCAATTGGCAATGAAGGGAATAACTCATCAACTTATATATTGATATCAAACCTCTCCCACCACCGATGTGGGATACTCAACACTTATCTTCATAATGCATGGATTTCTTAAAACGTAGTAGTCCAATTAAGGATTTCCTCTTGTGCTTTAAATTAAGGGAAAACCTTGATAGGTTGTATTTACCCCACATTGACATCATTTGCTAATCGATTTCTTTCACATTATAATATAGCTACGCTTATTTTAAACAACCTGGAGAAGGCAAACGTAATTGGTAGAAAACTGAAATGAAAGCGGAAAACGTAGTAGTTCAATACTCATCCTTGGCTAGATAGTTACCTACATTTGTTTGTCCGTTGGAGAAGCATATATGTTTGATCTTGTTAATTAAGAGTGAATGTGAATCAAAACAGTATTCATCGTTGTATTTGTTGTGAAGTATAGTAACAGGAATCGTAGTTGTATACCTCCTACGTTGTTTGTATATGTATTCATCGCGGGCAAATTTTGGTAAAATTCAATCTTAATGTAACATAATTTGTCTACATTTGGTAACATTACTTTAGAATTGAATGTAGGC